GCAGAGAGATCATGGTAGCTTGGATTAGGATGAGGATGATGGAGACTATAGAAAAGTGAATAAAATCCAGAGATACAGTATTTAGGAGGCAAAATAGAACTTGGTTATAGAATAAATGTCTACACTGAGGAGAATGTCTACAACGTCTCCTAATTTTCTGGATTACATAACCCAAAGCCATAAAAACAGTCTGAGTGGGGAGGACCAGGTGTCCCTTGTCTGGATATGTTGAAGTTTGGAGTATCTTTGAGATATCCAAGAAAAGAGTTAACTAGGTAGTTGGCACATAGTTTTTAATAAAATGGCATGTATTCATCATATTATGTAAACATTTTATATTCACAACAATACAAGAAACTGTCTATACACTGTTCCATAGGTTAGTACTTCCTATACTGGTCATGGTCCCTAGTTGTAGATAACTGAATCCAATCCAGCTATTTGTAGCAGGACTATATTTATTAAAGAAAATTGGTTAACTCACATAATCTACAATAGAGCTAGGGGACTAGCTTTGGATATTTCTTAGCCATGAACACCATAGTTAGGGGCAACACACTCAGGAAAAATGCCCAACCACACCCCTGGACTGTTTGGTACCTATTGAGCTTAAGGTTGAGGCCACAGAACTCTGGCAGCACCAGGACGGGACATCTCTGTCAACTGCTTGCCGGAAAAGCTGATATTCCCGTGAGTATGGCTGTGCCACTACACATTGCTCACTTCTGCATCCAAAATTCGGGTGACTTTGTATGATAGGTGTACACCAGATAATATGTCAGCATCCCAGCTGCAAAGGAATCTCATTCAGGAAAGCAAAGTTAGAAGAGGGCTTGATGGGTTTTGATGGAGCCAATTTAAAGTATCTGCTGGGCCTCCTCTTTGGTGCTTTTACATTCAAGCACATTTCTCTTCCCATGATTATACTTAGAAACAACGGCCTCCTTCTACCCAACATAGTACAACCATCCCCCATGCAAGCAAATCGTGCTTACCCTCCTGTCGAATGATGAAAAGGGGTGAGCAGAGCAGAGCAGCTTATTGCCTGCAAATATTCACTTTTCTCTTCTTCCTTATTAAGCCTGATTTTGTTTGGGCTGGTAACAGACCTAGTTTGTACTAAAAAACCCCCAAATTTCCCAAGTTCTCTTGCAGATGGGGTGTGGCTGTGTGACACAGTTATGGCTAGTGAAATGTAAATAAAAAGTGTCAGGTGGAATTCTGGGAGAAGAAAGTCTTTTAACCACTTCAGTAAGAGCGTCGACTATAGTCGACAGCCACACATGAACACGCCCAGTGACTTCAGCCGACAGCTGTGATATGACTTTTCTAATTTTTCACTTATCAAAATAAAATTGTGGACATTTAAAAATAACATAATGAAAACATATATATATATATATGTTACCTATTCTGATTTACATTATGAGTAAAGCTGCCTGTAAAGTAAAACAAGCTTTCAGTGCTTTAAAGCTTTCCTCATCACACAAGAGCAAAAGGGATTCGTCGTCACTGCACAGCACAGGCTATCGTGGGGACTGTGAGTGCCAGCTGTGGGCAAGGTTTCACGGCTGGTGGATGCTGTACCAAAGTGGTTAAAAGCAGGAGGAGTTGGGGGACAGAGAGATGCTGACATGTGCCATCTCTGTCTTAAGCTTTCCTCTTCTTCCTACCTAAAATGTGGTGTCCTGGCTCATGCTTTATCTTGTGACCATCCGATGAGGGAAGGGCCCAGACGATCCAAGAAGTCTCAGCCCAGACATGCCCACGCCTCTCCACGGCTCTGGGCTCTCCCTTCCAGGCTTCTCTGCTTACACGAGAGGAGAGCAAGCTCCTAGCTTACTATAAACCATTCTGCCCTGAGATTTTCTATCACAAGCAACCAAACCCACATTCCTAACCAGTAGGTCTTGTAACTGGGTCCTCACATTCCCTTTTGCCCCTTCAAACCCATTTTCTACACCATAGACAAGTGAGCTTTCAAGATGAAAATGATTATGTAGTTTTCTTATGCGAAGCCCTTCAATGAGTTTCCATTACTAATAGAAATAATTCCACAATCTTTTGGCTGCCCCCAAAGTCACAGCATCCTCTGTCTGCCTCTTCAACCCCATTTCAAGAGACGTGCCCCTCCTTTATCAGGCTCTCGGGACATGTCAACTTTCCTGGAAAAAGGCCTTCTCAAATGCCTCCCCTTAGCCGAAATGATCTCACACTGTCCTCACCTCATCTACCCCATTAAGTCTTGGCTTTAATTGCTTTACCATATAGGCCTCCTCTGACCCCGTAATCTAAATTAAGCCTCCCCTGTCAATGTCTCTTGCTGCATCATGTTATTTTTTTCCCCATAGCTTTTATTCCAAATTGTATTTACATAAAAGCTTACTTCTTTACTGTTTCTGTCTTAGATCATGAACTGTCTGAGGGCAAGACCTTTATCTGCATGATGTATACTTATATGTAGTGCAGATCCTTGTATGGAGTAAATGTTTGATAAACACTGGTTGAATGCCAAATGAATTAATTCACCAGACTCTGCCAATAGCAGGCATGTTTGAGCAATCAAATCTTATAAGTGTTCACAGACATGGAGTGAAACATTAACAGGATTTCATTATGGTGAAGGACCTCAGTAATCAATAGTCAAACTGAGGCTGGGCACAGTGGTTAACACCCATAATCCCAGCACTTTGGGAGGCCAAGGTGGAAGGATCTTTTGAGGCCAGTAGTTCCAGATCAGCATGGGCAACAAAGTGAGACTCCATCTCTACAAAAAATCTTTAAAAAATTAGCCAGATGTGGTAGTGCACACCTGTAGTCCCAGCTACTCGGTGGCTGAGGCAGGAGGATTGCTTGAGCTCAGAAGTTTGAGGATAGAGTGAGCTATGATCATGCCACTGCACTGCAGCCTGGGCAACAGAGCCAGACTTTATCTCAAAAAAAAAAAAAAATCAGTAGCCAAACACAGAGCTGGAGAAGATCAGAGAGATAAAGTTGTCAAGGGGTCATAGCATCCCTTTACCCCAAATCCAAAAAATGTTCTAGAATAGATAACCCACTTGTCAAGCAACTTGTATTCGTTCAACCATTTAACAAACATTTATTGAACATTTATTAGATGCCAGGCACTATGCTAGAAGGGAGGGGTTAGAGATAAAAGACATCTTGCCTTTGAAGAGCACACATACATAGATATATGTGGAGACAAGTGTCTCTGCAGAAGTAGCTGTAACATCCTTTGGGACCACAAAGTCGGGGTACCTGACGCAGCCTAGGAGCCTAGGTATGAGAAGGTTTCAAGGAAAAGGTGACGTGTGTATGAAATTGTGAAGATAAATAGGAGTTCTCCAAGCTGATGGGGTAGAGGGTGGGCACTTTGGTTGGAAAGAATAGCACATAGAAAGACATAGAAATCTGAAACAGAAAGGCCAGGGCAAAGTGGGAGCATTATGGGAGATGCAGACAACTCCTGATGATTCTTTAGGACTTAGCTCAGCCATCACGTCACTGGGGGAGTCTCTCGATGTGCTTTGTCAGGCTTCTCATGCTGTATCGTGACCGTGCATTTTCTTCTCTGACTCCCACGCTAGACGGCACGTGGAGGGCTGTAATGAATGTGTGCTACATGATATTTGAATTTGAGCAAGGACCAGATCATGGAAGGCACGAGTGTTTGAGTGATTTGCCTAAATTTTTATTTTTGATGATTATTATCGTCTTGGGAATTAGGGAAGGCTGATTGAGAGGGGCTAAAAATAAGGGAAGAAAGAGCTGGAGAAGGGTATTGAAATAGAGAAACTATTTTGAAGATCCACTTTATACTTAAAGTAAAAATCTCTTCTGGTAAGTGCCTTAAAAACTAAGTATCATTAAAAAATACTTGAGGTGGGAGGTGGACAAATATGACCTAACTTTATCATACATACCTTTTTTGTTTTGAGACAGAGTCTCACTCTGTTGCTATGGGTCGAGTGCAGTGACGTCATCATAGCCCACTACAACCTCCAACTCACATGCTCCAGTGATCCTCCTGCCTCAGCCTTCTGAGTAGGTGGGACTACAGGTGCAGGCCACCTAAGCCCAGCTGGCTAATTTTTCTATTTTTGGTAGAGACAAGGGCTCATTCTCGCTCAGGTGGGTCTTGAACTCCTGACCTCAAGGGATCCTCCTGCCTTGGCCTCCCAGAGTGCTAGAATTACAGGAGTGAGCCATGGCCCATGGACACATATATTTTATCATAAGGTATTTCTTTAACATGATTTTATAGTAAAAAAAAATATTATCCTCTCCTCTGATTCCCCTTTGATTTCTCACCCATCTTTGCTCTTTCTCTCCTCTTCATCCACAAATTTCTTGAAAAGAAGTAATCTCCTTTCCCAACTCAGCCATCTCTCAGAGGCAAAACATTCTTTCACTACTTTCCTGAAAATTCTCACATTGTCTGAATGGTTCGTTTAGTTGACAGCTCTTTGGCTTCTAAAGTCATGTTTTTTCTAAAATCTAAAACTTGTTTTTCTTGCCATCCACAGCCTCATCCCCACTCAACAGTTGATTTACGATGCTGAACTGCCTTTTAACTGTTAAAATTCTTTTCTCTTCTATGCCCAATCCACGTAGAACAATGTCATTGTCATTCACCTCCCAAGCTTCAAATATAACCAATGTATGTGAGTTTCGGATCAATATTCCCTAACCTACATTTCTCTCAGATGAATGTCTCATAGAGACCTCAAACTCAGTAGATCCAAACATGAATGCATCATCGCTCCTCTTTCCAGAAAGCCTATTCTTCTCCTATCTCCCTTATCTCAGTTAATGAAATCATCCTTTCAATTAGCTAAGGCATAACCCTCAGAGGAATTCTTGACTCTTCTTTCCCTGTCTCACACAGTGCCCCGAATCCAATTAATCACTAAGTCTGCTTAATTCCATCTATAAAATAACTTTTAAATTGTGGTGTAATGAACAAAATTGCCCAAAAGTGATGCTGGAAGCCCACCGCCCCCATTGTATGAACAATGAGCCACCTGGGACCAGAGATTCTTCCTCTCCTAGAAGGGCTGCACCCGAACTCCACTTCCCATGGTCAAGAAGTTTCCTCCCTTGCACAGGTCAATGACAACATCTCATGGGCCCACTTTTTCTAGATTCTGAAGAGCTCACTTCCTAGTCAATCCCTAAACTTCTGGCACCTCAAATTCAGGCAGTCTTGTACCAGAAACCCCAGAAACTGTGTGTATTCCCCCAGTGGCATGGCTGTTTTCTCAAGCTTATCCTACACAGAGAGAGACCCACAGCTGAGGGGAGGGGGGCACCTTTCCATTGGAACATAGACCCCAAATGCATGTCTGGCAGAGCTTAGGCCCTATCATAACCCTCTGAGAAATAATGCTGAGATCTGGAGACCCTTACCTTTTCTTGACTTCTTGATTCAGCTTATAAATTATCCTCTTGCCCAGTAAAGCCTGTTCCTTACCCCTTGCTACGCCCTTGTAGAATAGATCTCACAGCATTGTACACGGCAGGAGGTGAGCCACAAGGGATTGACTTGGCATGCCTCAATTCAAGCCTCTCTTCTCTATCCTAAAGCAACATTTTTTCTTAAAATTTTCATTACCTCTCAATCGGGTTCCTGCAATAGCTTCCTAACTGAACTTTCGCCTGAACTCTTGCCTGTCTCCATCTTAACC